TGTATGTATGTATGTATGTATGTATGTATGTATGTATGTATGTATGTATGTATGTATGTATGTATGTATGTATGTATGTATGTATGTGTGTATGTATGTATGTATATGTATATATTAGTGGTGTGCATGTTAACTCTTTATTATTGCGTTAACGCAGCAATTGGTTAATGCCCACAATTATTTTAACGTGTGTAAATACTGTTAGGTTTCATTTTCCTCTTTAATTTGTCAGAGTCAGAGTTTCTTTATTGTCATTCACACCTCATGTGGTACATGTGGTGGAACAAAATCATGTACAAAGGGTTCCAGTTACATCCAACAATAAAATGTAAAAGAAAAACCGTAATAAGATTTAAGATATGAACTAAGAAAAATGTAATCTAAAAATACACTAAGCATCCATCCATCCATTATCATTTACCCGCTTCTTCCATTTTGGGTCACGGGGGTCGCTGTTGCCCATGTCCAGCAATCACTGTGCGAGGGGTGGGGTACACCCTGGACGGGTCTCCAGTCCATCACAGGGACACATAGAGACAAACAAACATTCGCTCTCTCTCTCGCCTCTGGACAATTTAGTTACCAATCAGTCTAACATGCATGTTTTTGGTCTGTGGGAGGAAAACCGTGATTATCCTGATTGGAGATTCATGAGTCTAACAGCCTCAGGGTAGAAGCTGTTCCTCAGTCTAGTGGTTCTACACTTAATGCTCCTCAACCTCCTTCCTGAGGGGAGTGGGATAAAAAAGTGTGTGTGCTGGGTGTGTGGGGTCCTTCATGATGCAGGTGGCCCTCTTCCTGCATCTGGAGGTGTAGATGTCTGTGATGGTGGAGACTGACTCCAGCATCTTCTGTGCAGCCTTCACCACTCTCTGCAAAGCTTTTCTTTCTGCAGCTGTGCAGCCTCCATGCCACATGTTGATGCTGGAGCACAGGATGCTCTCCACTGCACACCTGTAGAAGGAGGTGAGGACTGAGCTCAGTCCTCCGTGTCTATGAACACACACTCACAGGGCTTAAAGCGCTCAGGCCGGGGGCTGGCTTTCCAGCTTATGAGCGAGACAGAGTCCGCCTCAGCTCTCAGCAAGGATTACATCCAATCACATTGAAGCTTGTGTTGTCTTGACCAATTCCTAACAGAAAGGCGGATCGTAGAAAAACAAGCGGGTGGATGTATGCAGCTTCGCTGTCAAATCAAATGCATCATGGAGTTCCTCACATTGGGACAAAACACAGTTTTACTGGAGAGTGCAATTAAAAACAATAACTGTTGGACATTTCTCCTCCTACTCTGACTGACTTTTTCCCCCTTTGGGGCGAATCGACTCCTCGGCGCGTGATAGACACATGACCGATTTCAGTTGCTCTATCAGGAAGGATGCAGCAACTCAACGATTCCGTTTAAAGTTGTTCAAAAGTACAAACGTTAAGCTACACACCAGTTTTTAAATCGTGTTGATTGGCCAAGTCAAATCAGAGTTGTGATAAATAATCATTTCCTGAAAATCAGATGTGAAGCAGCTTTAGAGGCGGCAGCGTTGGGCACAAAACACCCCGTTCACCTCCCACCCTTACCCAACAGGTGAACAACCTCCCCTCTCCTTTCTGACGGAGGCTCCAAGTTATTTGTGCAGCGCCACAAAATGTCTTGCTGATCTGTATCGATCTGCTTGTTTCTGCTCTTTTCAGCTTTTTCTACACATTTCAGCTGCTTTCTGCGTTTATTCGCCTGTTTTCTGTCAGCTGTTCAAATTCAACTTGCATTGACAGTTTAGCAATGAAACCTTTTCAGCTGGTTTTAGCTTTTTCAGCAGTTTTCAGCTGAAGTCATTCAACGCTAAGCATTCACGCCGCTTTTCCACAGGAAGTGGAGTTTGTGTAGAAGTAAGACGTGTCAGGAACTAATCCTTTAACAGGGAAAATATCCTCACTGCTCTCAGGAACAACCTTTGTGGTGTTTGTGCGACGCAGGATGTGTTTCAGGTTTTGGTTGTAATGTTCTTTACGTTCTTCTGTTCTTAACAGGAAGAAGAAACACAGATCCAAGGGGAATCTTTTCAAACCGTCCGTCTGTCTGAACAGCAGCCTGCGAGTTTTCCCCAGGCTCATTTGGAAATGCTGAAGTCACCTTCAACAGGTCCTCAGGAAGCTCTGAGCCCATCGCGGAGGTCCAGTTTGCCAGTTTCTTTGCTGAAAGTCAACGTGGTCAGTCCTTCACAGAGGAACAGGGAGAGCATTGTCCAGAACCAACAAATGCAGGTCTTCTGTGAGTCCAGTTCAAGCCACCATGCAGTCACACCACAAAACCTTCTTACAAGAACGGAGCCCGCTCTTCAATCGTTTTCACACCAAGAGCCAAATCAAAGCAGTTTCCATGTTTCACCTCAGCAGGAAGAGGCCACTGAGAGCAACTCCAGGACAACTGGAAGCTGTTCTAGGTCTTTAACTTCAGAAAGTCTCCAACACACGAGTTTCTCTTCTGACTTTAGAACCTTATCGTCCGTGCAGTTCAGCCAAGTCTGTCAAGAAGACAGACCTCCTGCTGGACTTAAAGCAAACAGCCCACCGTCCAAAAACATGCACAATACCGGGCCTCTGTCAGAGCTGTTCACACATCTGGACCCTACGACCGCACATGAGCACACAGGTCAGAGCAGTGACTGTGGGAGGCCTGACATTACCAACAAATACCAGTCCTTCTTCATGGTCAGCTCTCTCTGTGGCTTCCAACCATCCGAGGGTCGGAGCAGCGCCCTGAGGCCCGTGGCCATCAGCCAGGACTACAGAGAGGACACGAGCAGCAGCGATGATGAAGGAAAGCTGATCATTGAGCTTTAGAGCAGTGGTCCCCAACCACCGGGCCGCGGACCGGTACCGGGCCGCACAAAAAATAAACTAAAAAAAAACTTTTATTTTGAAAGATCACCAGATTCTCTCCACCACATCTGTCAATGAGTCACTCTTGACGCAGGTCAACATACACAAGTGGTAAGTTTCAGTTTCTGTTAGACGCATGCGCAGATTGGTTCTACAGTGCCCGTTCAGGTGGAGTACCGTATTTTTCAGCCTATAAGTCGCAGTTTTTTGCATAATTTACAAATGCCCTGCCACTTATAGGCCAAAGCGACATATTTATGGATTTTTTCCCATATTTATAAACCATTTTTTGGCTGAGATATGACCGTTTTCATTCATTCTTACTGATTTTGTTTTGAGCAGTACCAGTACTTGATGGCAGCAGAGTATTAAATGTAGTGTGGCTTGTTGTTGGCTGTTGTATCATGTAATAGGAAAACATGCCTATAATGACAAATTCAAAAAAGTTCAAGACAAAAACAACTGGACTTTATTATACTGTACTTTATACTTTATTGTTTTTTTCTTGAAGTTTTTTGAATTTACCATGTCCTGGATGACTGAGAATCTTTACCAGCGTTTAAAGACTCAGTCAGCCTGCCCACCTTGGTTCTGCTTGCTGTTTGGACCAACCGTCCATCCAGCTGCAGCTGATTTGACCATTAAAGTGCATTTATTAAGCAAACGTTAGATTGATACACACTTTGATATAATTTAGAGCAAACAAATAATTGTTTTTAAGTGTTAATCTTGTTAAATTCATGTTAAAGTCGTCCAGTGCACACTCCTGCGGCCGCCATTTCGTGGCCCATCGGTTTTTGGCACAACACCGGTCCACATTTCCGAGTTGTCAGCGCTGACGCATGCGACGTACACGGCGAAGCGACATATTTATGTATTTTTCCAGTATATTAGACAAATATGGACTGATGCGACTTGTATGGTGGTGCGACCAGAAAATACAACAATTTAGCTGCGTGTTCTGGAGCAGACAGGATAGGAGGCGGCGTGCGGCCGTGTCTGCACATTTGAAGGATCACTGCATATTTTTCAACCCGCCTGACAAAGAGTGACTGTAAAACTATCCATCCATCCATCCATTATCTTTACCCGTTTATTCCATTTTGGGTCACGGGGGTCGCTGGTGCCCATGTCCAGCAATCACTGTGCGAGGGGCGGGGTACACCCTGGACGGGTCGCAAGTCCATCACAGGGACACATAGAGACAAACGAGACAAACAAACATTCACTCTCTCACTCACACCTAGGGACAATTTAGAGTTACCAGTCAGCCTAACATGCATGTTTTTGGTCTGTGGGAGGAAACCGGAGTACCCGGAGAAAACCCACGCATGCACAGAGAGAACATGCAAACTCCACCCAGAAAGGGGTTTGAACCAAGGACCTGCTCGCTGAGAGGCAGCAGCTCTACCAGTTGCGCCACCGTGCTGCCGACTGTAAAACTATTAATTAATAAAACTATAATTTTAAACAAAGCTTCCTAACGTCACATCAGAGCTGGTTTTGTCTTGAACTTTTTTGAATTCACATCAGAGCTGTTCCTTCGCATTTCTGCTTCTGCTCTTAAAACAAATCTCCACCCCTAAAAGTTTAAAGTCATGGGCACTTTAAAAAAAAAACACAAATATAATTAAATCCAATAATTTTCAGTCTGGTCATTTGGACGGTTTCTTTTTTTGCTGAAACGTTTCACCTTCCATCCAGAAGGCTTCATCAGTCATGGAAACACACAACACAAAACTGATTATTCCCCAAAAAAGCTTACTCCAAAGTGGAACAAACCAGTTCTGTTGGTGCTAAGATGGTGTTTTTGGCACGCCCCCTCCTCTGTTGCCGGCCCTCTTCCTCGTCGACAGTCATGAATCTGGTGAGCTGGACTTTCAAAGCAAAATCTTTTCAATAAAGCAACAGGGTCCAGGCTGCAGGATACATCATGGATGTGTGGAAGCTGATGTGTCTTTCCATTTTGTCTCAGGAGGACGCCGAAGATATATTTAATTGGATTTATGATCACAGGTTTCCTGCTTTTTGGAATCGGCTGGTTCCTGGTTTATCAACCGATAAAGAAGATAATTTAATATCATCAGGCTGCCTGCCTTGAAGGTTTGGTTCGTGCAACGAGTACTCAAAATCTGCTGATTTATGAGCTAAATCGTAAGATGGAAGCGATTTGTGAGAATCGCAGGCCACCTGCGGCTTCTAGGACTCGCCAGCATGTCGGAGACGACCTTGAAGGAGGCTCATAGCACGGATCAGTGGAATGCACACAATTCTGGCCATTTTGGATCGAAAATACCAGCAGGACTCAAGGCTGACATGAAAAAACAGTCTGCCTGAAGAAATCAACAATTGTTGCTTATCTGAATCTGACTCCCCTGTTTGGCCTTGAAAGCAGGCCGACTATCAAATTTCTCCTGGGACATGGGTAACTACAGGAAAAGCTTTGCCTCTCGCAAACACCCCCCACCCCCCCACCCCCGAGGACTTCTGTGCAGGCTTATCAGAACAGAATTGCCGGCTGACCAACATCTTATCAGGACTATGGCTTATCTGGAAGTGCTTCATGGACAAATCTCACCGTCTGGACATCGGATGCATATGTAATGTGTCTATAAATGTGCTGCTGGTACAGTTTTTTGATGTCTTACATTGTGTCCTGATAGGACAAGATGTGAAGAGATCGTTTTTTGTAATACCACTATCCAGCCTCATGGCCTTTTCCCTTTTTCTATTTAAAAAGTATTCTGATAAAGGATAAGAGGCTGCGCTCCTGTAGCAGCAGCAACGTGCACTCCGCCCATCTTTCGGACGACTGTACGAACATAACGAGACGAGGAGGAAGAGATTGCTTGCCTCTTGGCAAAAAAACAAAAGAAAAGGCCATTAAACCAGATCAGGGATGAAGAAGGACAATTTAATACAATGGTGTCACATACAAAACAGTCCATCGCCGGGCAGTTCATTGTATGACACCGAGTATGCATATGCAGTCGTAAAAATGGATCTTTGCACGGATATGCCTTGTGGGCGTCCGCTTCGAGTCTAATCCGATACGAGCGGACCTCAGTATGCGGAGGTCCACTCGTATGTGGGAGCCTTAAGTCTTTCTTCCAGAACTCTCTCCCAGATCTTCATCGCGTGGCTCATCAACATGCTACAACTCTGTATCACCCTTGTTCTTAAAAATGGGCTCCAGAACACGTCTTCTCCATTCCTCAGGAAAAAAGTTTAAAAACCCAGAAATCAAACACTTTGTTCTTGCCTTACAAGAAAGAAAAAAGAAAAAGTAACGTACTGGTTGTCATTTTGTGCTCTCTGGTGGATCTATGGTGTAGTACAACACGCAAGTAAAATAATGATGTAACGTTTATGTACAGTAATTACTGTACACTGTGTGTACACTCTGTCTTACTGTTTTTTTGCGTACTACTGTTTTTATATCTTCTTCTTTCAGCTGCTCCCTTCTTCAGGGGTCGCCACAACGAACTCAGTCGCACCAAGACATGACAATTATTTTTACGCCAGATGTTCTTCCTGATGCAACCACAGACCGCCGAGCTACCACAGCCCTCTGTGTGGAGCAGAGAGCTGCTATCTAGGCGTCCAGGGGAGCAGATGGTGGGGGTTAAGCACCTTGCTCAAGGGTCCAGAGTGGGACAAATGAGGGTGAAAGCAGGTGTGGGTGCTTCACCTACCCCGCCCACATCTTGATGTTGTTGGTACTGGGACTTGAACCAGCAATCTTCCGATCACAGGCCCACCTTCTCTAACCTCTGCGGCACAACTCACCATTTTGTGTACTACTGTATATTTACCAGAATACATACTGTCAGTGTTTTCAGTATGGAATTTGATTATAACATTTTAAAGAAATATAATAAAATTGATAAGTTAACCCACTCAATGAAAAATATGTTATTGCCTCTTTACTCAAAGTGCGATGGCATTCAAAATATTTTCAACACCTGAAGACCACCTTTACTCAACTAAAGGAAGGAATGCAAATCACCTTTCATGGCAGAGTTTTAAAGTAAAACGATCTTTGGTAAAAACATGTAATCTCCACTCAAAGAGAGGACTTGTTTCCTCTGCCTCTCAAATACTGACGCTGAATAATGGTCATCATGGGGAGATTCTCCGAGGAAAAACTCTGAATAAGTTAACCTTGTCTCCGAACACTTTGAGTAAGGACCCAGTTCTACATTACACAAGATAACCAAGACGTGTTACTATTGTATGTGTATTCTGTGTTCTGAATGTCAACAAAACAAAAGAGCTCATTATTAACTTCAGGAAAACAACAAAATCACATGCTCATAAACAACACAGAGGTGGAGGTGGTGGAGAGCACCAGGCTCCTGGGGGTGCACGTAACCAATCAGCTGTCTTGGTTAAGAAACACTGGGCCCCTCGTGAAGAAAGCCCAGCAGCGTCTGCACTTCCTCCGTAGACTGAAGAGATCACAGCTCCCACCCCTGTCCTCACCACATTCTACAGAGGAACCATCAGTGTTGCCAGGTGTACGATAATTATCGTATTTGTGCGACAATTTTGCCCTCTGTACGATCAATAATCCCCAAAAAAGGCCAAATATATGATAATTTGACCAATCCCTGAATGTGTGGTTGTAATCGGTTCATCAGCCTCTCGCAACTGTCTGTCGGAGTTTTTTTGTGAACCCTGAAGGCATCTGTGTCCGCAAACAGATGCACGATTGGCTGGAAATTCCAGTCAATCGTTCTTTTCTAAATGTGACCTACGAGTGACGTGTTTGTGTTTGCCTCAGAACAACGGCCATGATTGGATGAATAGTCCACTGCGCCCGCCCCATGAGTGAGGAAAAGAAAAGAAGAAGCAGAGCCGATCTGGAAGCGAACACATCACTACTATAGTGCATTAATGGATTTGTTATTTTGGTTATGACAGGTGTACGATAATTTTGTCTCTAGTACGATAATCCTACATTTCTCACCTGGCAACACTGGGAACCATCGAGAACATCAAGACCAGCTGCATCTCAGTTTGGGATGGAAGCTGCCTGGCTGCAGACTGGAAGGATGTAAGGAGGTGGTGAGAACAGTGGAGGAGATCACCCTCCCCTTCATCCAGGACATTAGTCTCAGACGCTGTTGACCAGAGCCATTAAAATCAAAAGAGACAACTCACACCCACAATAGGGCTTTAACAGACTACTCGGGTAATCTACACATCGATTCCTACGACATCTATCGAGTTTTTTAATTTCACGTCGAGTATTCGTGGTGACATCATTACGCCGCCGTTTCGTCATTGCTTTGCGTGTCACGTGATCCACACCGGGCGCGAGTTACAAAATGTATTCCTTCAAGCAGACGGTTGGAGCGGAGCAGGCCCAGTCTTGACAAACAGGTAGAACTGCATCAATAGTCTGGAAATATTTCACTAAAGATGAATCTTCTGGTTCAACTACCGTAAGGAAACAGAAAATTAATCAACTTCCTGACTGTTTGGAGCTCGTTGTGAACCGGTGTTACACCATATTCTGTGACCACCGTATATTGTGACTGTAGGGGGCGGTGTTGCACTGTTGCAGGTCACAGAATATGGTGCAACACCGGGTCCAATGACTGAACCAGAACCAGCTTCCTCTGACCTTGTTTCACAAACAAAAGCAAAAAATATTAATCTCTAAAGCTATTAAAATAAATTTATAAACATATTAATCTCTAAAACTAAAGCTAATGCGCAGCACAGCTGGCGGTGGTCGACCCCCCCTCTGTTTTTAGTTTTGTTTTTGACGTGCCGCACGTTTCTTTTACTTTTGCATTTTAATAATAATAACCAATAGTTTAGTTTTTCCTGCGACTTATTTGCAGTATGATAAATGGTAGGAGCATGATATATGCTCCCAATGTTTTGTTGGTCTTTTTTGGTAAATAATGACCTTTTTTGCGGTTTTATTTATTTTTGTATCTTTAGATCCTATGACGTTATCAACTACTCGAGTTCTACTCGGGTTTTATTATGTTAATGTTGAGTTTAAAAATGATGTAGTGGTTCAACCCCTACCCACAATATGGCCTGTTTGCTCTGTTGACCTCTGGCAGGAGGTACCGCAGCCTGAGGACCAGAACCATCAGGTTCTGTCAAACTGCTGAACTCAGGTCACGAATGAAATGACCACGGTAGAAAAAACACACACAGATCTCACACAGACATCATCCCTAAACACCAAATTCATGTACTGCTGTGGAGAAATTAAAAATGTCTTTCAATTTTGCGTGGTGCACTGCACAATTTTGAATGACAATAACGTTTTATATTATTGCTATTATCGTAATCAACCATTATCTTTTCCCGCTTCTTCCTTTTTGGGTCATGAGGGTCTCTGTTGCTCATATCCAGCAGGCACCGGCGTTTTATTGTTGTTTATTGTTGTATGCACCTTACCTGTGGTTTTGTTTCAAACAGGTCTCTTGAAAATGAGTCCTTGTGACTAAATGAGACAAACTTGTTTAAATAAAGGTTGAATGAACGAGAGGCAGGGGACACCTGGATAGGTCTCAGTCCATCACAGGGGGACACATGGAGACAAACAACCATCCACTCTCTCACTCTCACCTGGGGACAACAGAGTCACCCATCGGCCGGGCAGATCAAATCTTTCCCAGTTTGAGCTGCCGTTCCTCCCTCCGGCCGCGTGGTGGCGGTCATCACCTGGACACTAGTTTGGTAACTGCCGCCTAACGCAACTCAAGAAGAAGAAGAACTGCCGCCTAACGCAACTCAAGAAGAAGAATGAGCGGCGCTACGTTACGTTTAACGCAACGCGAGTTAACGTTCAGGAGTGCCATTGAACTACAGAAGGTTAGATATTTTCCATGTTTTCATGAATAAAACGGCAGAAACTGTGTAAACGTGACATATTAGTTAGTGGAGTGTGTACCAACGAGTCCGGAGACGCGGGCTCACTTAGTGAAACGTTCTGGATTTAATTCATGGCTGGTTTTGTTCGGTCAGAGCTAACGGTGTTAGCTACACGGCTGCAGTTTCATCCAGGTTCCCGTCTGTTCTCAGAGTTAGCATTAACTTGAAGTAAACTAACATCTCTGTCGTTTGAAGGTAAGATCTCGTGTGGTGTGTTCGCTTCCAGCCCAGTTGTATCGCAGTGAGCCAGCTTCATCATGTTCCGGCCCAAACCGACCCTGAAGGACCGACAGCACCTGTACAAGCTCATCATCAGTCAGCTGCTCTATGACGGATACACCAGCATCGCCAACAGCCTCATGAACGAGGTGAAGCCACAGAGCGTGGTGTCTCCATCCGAGCAGCTCATGCAGCTGGCCAAGATGGGTAAGAAGCGTCCTCATGCTGCAGTCAGGTATCTGCACCTAACCAGGCTCAGTCAGGTCCTCTGGACCATCCTCTGAAGTGTAAAGACCTTCAGTCTCCAGAATCTTCAGACTGAACAAGTATTGAACAACAGAATGGGTCCAGAGGACCTGACAGAACCTGGTGAGATGGGTGAGCTGGTTTGAAGGTTTGTGATGTTCTCAAGGCTCAGAGACGGGTTAAACTTGTTCTCACTCCCGTCTCACTGAGCTGCAACTAGTTGGTGGTTTATCAAATAATTTCACAAAATCATGAGAGATTTGGCAAAGCAGCTTTATTTCTATAGCACATTTCAACAACAAGACAAACGTCACAAATAATTAAAAACATTTTGACAAAGTGCAAAACAAACAGTGAGAACCTACAGAAAAAATGAAAATGTAAAATTACAGATACTCAAAGAAATAGCATATTAAAAATAAGAATTCAAAGCAAGCTTTGATTAAAAGCTAGACTAAAGTATAACGGAATATAAAAATGTCATGAATTAATTTTAAGGCCGCAGCAAGCCTTGATGTAAAGGAACTCCGTCAGAGCGGTCTGGCAGTTTTCTGGGAGTTTGGTCCACATAAAAAGCTGATGGAGGCTTCTGCAGTCCATCCCAGACAAATAATTCAAAATATATAAATACAAAAGTAAACAGACTTCAGTCTACCACAGTATATTAAACTTCAACTCAAAATAAAATACAGACTTTACAGTTTTTTTTACCATATCACTCTAACATTTGTTATATTTTCAAAACTTAACCTAATATGAAATATACAGACTTTACAGTCTTAATCATATTGATTCATGTTTAGTAAATATTTAACAAAATTTCAGAACCTGTGCAAGTTTGCACAAAATCTCTTCTGAACTGTAATAGTTTATAAACCATAAACTGTGTCTCCTGATGCATGCTCAATAATCCAGGTAGAAAAATCCAAAAAAGTTCAATCTGGTCCTCTGGACATTCAAAAAAACAAAACAAAGCAAAAAAATCTAGAAACGTTTCGTCTCTCATCCAAGAGACTTCCTCAGTCTGAGGTGCTGTTTTCAGCTCAGTCTCTTAAATAGTACCTTCTCAGGGTCAGCAAAATTGGTGTGACGTTTAAGGGCCCGGAGATCACGAGCATCCAGTAGAGTTTTACAGCCTTGACCCTTACGCACAGCGATTGTTCCAGATTCTCTGAATCTTT